AATCAAGCATAATATTCAAATGGTCAATGGGGGATGCTAAACAGAAAGGAAGTCATGATAACCTCACCACACAAAAGGGCCCTAGCAGTACGTCAAAGAAAGATGATTGCTTTCATATTTTGGAGAGGACTTTTCAAAATTGTACACAATTGCAACTAAATATGTTTTTAGGCAAATCGATATTTTTTCGAAGTTGCATAGTGTAACGAAACCTACTCAGGGATCCGCCAGTTAAGTGAAAGCAACACAAAAATAATCTTAGAAGGAACAAGACGTTGATTGCTACTCAAGGGGGACGAATCAACCCCTCGCCGATGAGCAACCGAACCCTACCAAAAAGCACCCACCAAAACAGGAAAGCCACATGCACGAAAAGTAAATCAAGCAACCAATTATTATTATCACAGTCTAGCAAATTTGAGTATCACAATTTAATAGAATCATAAGATATAATAAAATGAAAGAGCACGGCTGTAATGGGGCACGGGGCACATTACTGCATGTAAAGTAAAACTTACATACAACACCAATAAGTTGGCAACTGAACTTCGGATACAATTTGCTCCATCCTGGCAGGTCCAAAGGTAAAAGAAATCAAGCTAAGAGAAACCAGTCTCTCCTACGACACCAGTCCTAGCCTTGACCAATGCTGTCAAGCCAAGCTTTTACCCTGAACTGTCCGGCAGCCGTTTTACCCTACTTGTCACGGCAAGCGTAATTTTTTTTCCTAGGAGGGTAAGGGGCAATGTCATGAATAATTCAGTTTTTCCTTTGAAACATTGCAAGACTTAGGTTCTCGTTCTATTTTTCCCTTAATTTAAAATTATCTCAGTGATAAATTTGGAGAAGAAAAATAGCTGATGAAAAGGAGCAGCGACGACGTGGATTCGAACCAGGGATCTTTGTATCCATAGCTCATCTCGCTATCCACTAGGCTTCTGTGTGGTAGCTCGACGACAACCGTTCTTTAAAATGCTTTAATGTATTGTAACTAGTTGAGTAACTAACAACAATGCTGTTGATGTCATTGTCCGTTCTCATGGATAAACATGAATTAGTCATGACATTGCCCCTAACCCTCCTAGGAATAAAAATTACGCTCACGGCAACGTACGCCGCTCGCAGCCCCCTGGCTAGCTCCGCTTGCCTGTACTGTACTTGTCACGGCACACGTACGCTGCGCGCTTTGCCGGTACGTATACAGTACCTACGTACGTACGTACTACGTGCACCCCATGCAGTAACCAATACGCAGTCGCAGTTCCGACTCCCACGGCATGGTTACTGTTTACTGTACATGTCTAGTAAATGACCTTTCAGCTAGCCTTGACCAAGGCTATCAGCTTGTTCCCATACGAACTTGTTCCCGCTACCGCACACCGCGACACAATCACTAGTTGTACTATAACGTTAGCCTCAACGACCCTTGCGTGTGCTTTATGTGCATATACGTACGCCCCACACACACTTCCGCAAACAGCCGTACGTACAGCAAGTCGAGGCGGAAGATAGCCTTGACGCAACCGTGGCGAATTCTTATGTGTTTCTTTATAGTTTCGACCGAAATCGGCCGAAAATTTCTGATGCGCATATATTACACGATATCCAATCAAAGCCCGTAAACTTTGACCCGCGATATACATATTCATGACCCGCAAATTACTGTATACACCACGTACATGTATGTTCACTCAAACCATGGTCCCATTTTAAACCATTTCTCCAGTTTTATTACAAACAAATAAAATATGCCGCTATATGAGTGAACAATTGTTCAAAATGATATATTTCCAATGTATTGCGAATTGGACATGCAGTTCAAGACCGTCCGCCGACATTTTGTCGGTGCAACAGCGTACATTATCACGCCGCTACCTGCCCGTGCTATTCTGCCGGACAGCGAATGTAGGGAATAGGTCAACTCGGACCCAGGTCAAATTGTACCCATTTAATCGAATGCAGGTTAACTCGTATCTATAAGCACCCGTATGAAGTAAGTGCAAGAAACGAGCTATTGACTTTGGGATGGAAATATACGAAACTGTCAGGTACATGTTGAAAAAAAAAAACTCTCCCTGAATTCGTACCATGTGCAACATACATGTACATCTCATACGTATGACACATGTATTTTAACGCGTACGTATGAATCGTATGTCGTACCTACGACATACGTACGACATGTAAGTCGTAGATGTAAATCGTACGAGATACAAGTCGTTCTCACAAGATATGTTGTATGTACGACATAATCGACAAACAAGTCGAACATACGAGTTACAATTCATATTTTGTACACACGAGATATTAAGTCGTACTTATATATACGACTTTGTCATATGCGAAATATATCGTACCCTGTCGACTCGACTTATGCACGACATATATGTCGTACCGGCACCTGTCGACATTATGTCATATGTTTGATATGTCATACCCTGTCGACATATATGTCGTAACCTGTCGATGATATTAGTCGTACCCTGTTGAAATATGTCGTACCCTGTCGATATATTAGTCGTACATACGACATATAACTTATAAGTTGTTCATACAAGTTAAAATCAGTCTTACAGAATAAGTTTGCTGAAGGAGAGATACCCCTCCCCCCCCCCCCAAAAAAAAAGTCAGCAGTACATACATACTCAATAGTGTAAGCGCTTTTTTGGCCGCTGAACGTGATTTCAAGCGCAGCGTGTCTCACTGCATGGCGCCAGCCGGGCCGGTGCCTACAGTGGACGGCCCCAACGTGGCCTCTGTGCATGGTGACATCGTTTTTGCCGGCGTGCGGTTTTGTACCGTTTGCCGTTTTTTGAAGGTCTAATTTTTTATCCTTTTCATTTCATTTTCGACCCAAACTATGTGTAACTTTATAAATATTATTCTACTATTATTTAAGATTTGAAGGGGGTGTTTTACAATAATTATTGTTACCACAGGCCGTCTGGTTTATAAACCTTTGGTCGTATTATGCAATTTAATAAATATTCATATTAATGGTCAGCCGTTATCCAATGAGAGAAGACTATTTACCATAGGGCGAACTAATTATCATATTCAGCATACACGGTTGCGTCAAGGCTATCTTCTGCCTCGACTTACTGTACGGCTGTTTGCGGAAGTGAGTGTGGGGCGTACGTACATGCACACAAAGCACACGCAAGGGTCGTTGGGGCTAACGGTATAGTACAACATTGTGTTGCTGCGCGCGCCGTGTGCGGTAGCGGGAACAAGCTCATATGGGAACAAGCTGATAGGCTTGGTCAAGGCTACCTTTCAGCTGGCAAAACTATCAATAGTTATTTAATTTATTTCATTTCTATATAGTATTAGACAACAAATTCAAGTGGTTTTCGCTACAATAGTAATGCCGTCACAGCTGCAGTACAGCGGGTTTTGTTTTAATTTAACACTATAATTCCGTACCCAAAATCGATGATTGTTGCACAAATAAAATCAGCTGCATTTTGTTAATGGTTCACATCCAAATAAACACAGAAATAGCCTCTGATAGCAAGAGAAATTCTTCGAACGTTCGGGTGCAACCTTACAAGGAGTCCCTTTATCCCCGGTTATGGTCGATATATTCATGGAAGAGTTGAGCTGACCGCCACCGCCACAAAAAAACGCAGACTCTGTATTTGGCTCTGGTGCATTGATGACACCTTCATCATCTTGTTACACGGGCAGGAGAATCTCCTGTACTTCTAAGAACACTCAGCGGGCTTGACCGCATCATCCAATTCACCATGGAGCCAAAAAGAGATGGCAATATTTCGTTTCCTTATGTTGAGGTTTCCACAACCTCATATCCCGACAGCAGTTCCTTTCATCACTCCAAGATCAAGATGCCTGTCACCCCGGTCAGGAGGTCGTACAACATCTGCCACAAGAAAAACCTACCCTAGAAACCATATCAACACAGCACTACGACGAACCGGATACAAGCCAAGCCAAATCAAAACCCAAGATTCCAGAACCACCCCCGACCAGAGGGTCTCCTACACCCAATGTCAACTACACTAGTTGCATTACCCTCACTACTTCTGCAGTACTTCCAACCACATTCTGTGTACTCTCCACAAACACGGCATTCGGGTTTTCCACACACAGCCCCTAAAGACCGAGAACAAGAACCCAAACGCAGACCAGGGGTGTGCAGAATCCCCCTGGCGAAGTAGCAAATTGTACATCGGCGAGACAGGCAAGAACCTCCCTACCAGACTAAATGAATATAACCTATATAGCAGACGCAGATATTTTGACAAGTCCTCCACGGTCAAGCATTCACACACCAAAGATCATCAGATCACTGGCTTCCCCGCCGCATCAGAGAGGCCAAATTTTAAGTACGACACAGTACACCAAGACATCGGCGCCTCCATCAGTGACATCTTCCGCCCCATCCTCACCACTCAGTCCAATGGGTCTTCTATACCCAAGGACAACTTAGTTTAATAACCACCTTATAGTCAGCCTATGGGTCCCCTACACTTGGCAACCTTCCCTTTCTCTCCCTTCCTCCACATTTCAGGGCCCCCATGCAGGGAGAACAGTTCATCGACAACTGAATGGGCTACCCCGGTAAAATAACACGAGCTAAAGATACGCCTCACCGATCTTCATGCATCCCCAGCTTCTGCATGGACTCCACACCGATATGCCTCACTGATCAGCGCCAGCATCCCCTGCTTAATACTTTATAGACACTGGTTTGAGGCAGGGATTTTAAAAATTAGGCATCTCATGGCAGACTCGGAATTTGTATTGACTTTGAATGAATTTAGATTAACGTATGAATTGAAGAGTAATTTCATTGAATATAATGGTGTCTTAAAAGCCATTCCCCGAGAATGGAAAGACAAAATTAAGGGTCAGAATGTGTGTGATGTCCAGATTACTTTGTCTATAACAATCTAATTTTTGTTAAACAAGTTTACAATTTCCTTATGGATACAATTAGAACTATCCCGTGTAAAAGTATTGACAAATGGACCGAGATGTATCAGGTACATGAAGATGATGGGAACAGTATTTTTATGCTACCGTTGAAATGTGCGTCGGACGTTAAATGTAGAGAGTTCCAATTTAAATTTTTGCACAGGTTAAAGGTATATAATGACTTTCTTCACAAAATTGGCCTGTCTGAAACCCCTTTTTGTACTTTCTGTAAAACCGTTTTATTTTTTTTAATTGTTCTTTCGTTTCTTGTTTTTGGAAGAAGGTAGAGGAATGGTTAACGTTAATTTGTAAAGTCAATATTGTTCCTGCAGAATGTTCTATTATGTTTGGTAATAAAATTTATGACCCTGACCTTTTTGTCAACTATGTAATTATCTTGGGTAAGCAGAACATTTATAAATGTAAGTTTGAAGAGAAGCCTCCTCAAATCAATCATTTTATGAATTTAGTTAAACTGATGGAAAGATTTGAATTTTATATTGCAATTAGAAGGAATAAATTAGTTACCCATCAAAGAAAATGGTATCCATTGATGTATCTCAGTGGTTCCTTCTTGCTCTGTCACCAATATATAATATATTTTTGCCATTTCTGAACTGTATGATCATAATATCAATTTATTTGTTGTGTAATTATTAATGCACTGATGAATACAAAAAATGTTGATGTATGTTCATATTCTGTATTTACAAACAACAACAATTTATTGGGAATTCAATATAATTGCCTTTATTTGTATTTGGCAGAGTGCCACCACTGAACCACCTACGGTCTCTGTGGAAACACAACCACTTCCCTCGTTCACTTGTAGTAGCAACTGTGACAAATGCCTTGGCCCAGCGGAAAACGAGTGCACCAAATGCAACGAAGGGTTCAGCCTGTCTTTGGTTGACGGAACAAACCAGGGAATGTGCGGCCAAACTCCGTTTGCTGGCGTGGGAGGCGTCCCCGGCTTTGTCGCAATTGTTGTAGCCGCTGCTGTAGCCATCCTGGTGACGTGTTTTGTCTGCTGGTGCTGTCGTCGTATGAGGCGTTTAAGACGTGATAATGAACGTGAACGTGTGAGTATAAATATCTCAATGGTCACAGTTACTATGAATATTGAATAAGTATAACCATGCTTTTAGAGTGCCCCAGTACCATAACTATGGAATTATATCCAGTAATTGTATTTCACAAAGTTGGCATAAAAAGTACACCAAGGAAAGGCGATATTTAAAAAAAAATTCACTTGAATTGCTTTCTTCAACAAATATCCTTCATTAGTATACAACGTGAGTTAATTACTGTATCGGCAGAAATATTTTCCTTTTCTTCGAAACAACTTTGTGTCATACGATGTTTGAGATTCTTTTGACACACGGGAAGAGTTACTAGAATCAACCATCTAATACAACAATACACGATGTGAATACGATACTTTTAGTTCCATTGATTATAAGTCACCACAAAAATGAAATTCACAAAAGACACCTAAAGGGACTTTTTGGAGGTTGTTTCCTTGATCACTTAAAACAACTAACTTTGTCCAATTTCAAGTCATCTAAAATGTTTTCCAACTTGAAGCTGTCTTTTCTTCTGTCAAGGTTAACAAGTTGCTTTTAAATATATGGGCTCCGTGCGCCAACAAAGAGGGCACCCTTTTACCTATCAACGACATCCCATGGTCGGGACATTTAGCTGGTACGCACGTACACTAGGGAATTTGTACTATGTGGTACGGCCGCGCGTCGCGGCAAAATTGAAGTCAGGCAAGATGGCGTCGGTCGGTCACCCCCAACTGCACTTTCTTTGCCAGTGAGGGGGTACTTGTGAACGGAACGGATAGACTCCCAGGTTTACAATTAGAACCACTTAATATGTTAATAGGAATTTATATAAAAAATAGAAAGGAAGGGAATACTTGAAAAAGGAAAGAAAAGAAAAAGGCAGTGTATATTTTGCCGGAGACGGCAAACCTTTAGTAAACGTTAGTTTGCCGGATATGCACTGAACATGCGCAGTTACTGTTTTTTTGTACTTAAACATTTTCCGGTGACAAGTTTTAGTCTGGCTCCATGCCAAAATTATCGTTGTTACCTCGTATTAACAAGATGAGATTCAGACCATTTTATAATTTCGGACTTTATTTCCCTTTTAAAAAAAATCCTCCAGAGCCACAAATCTGAAAAAGAAAATGTAGTACTCTGCAAAAAATGCTTGAGACATGTTAAATTAATAAAAGAAGAATATTCTTATTTATTTGGGGATGAGAAAACAAAAACTTAAAAATGTGGTGCAGTCGGAATCGAACGCGAGTCATCCCGCTTACTAGAACCTTTGCTTAACCACTACACCAAATGTGCTACACAATTTTGGGTGGGAATTTAATACATGTTATAATTCAGCCCTCTTTTAAAGAGTACAGCGCCCTCTGTTGATATGGATTGCCGCCGGCAAACCTTTAGTAATCGTTAGTTTGCCGTCATTACCTCCGGCAAAATATCCACTATCAAAGAAAAATGTTTAACGCAACTTGCGGCGGGTGCATACCTATGTTTCCCAGTACCTGTGTTCCCCATTACCTAAATATCTAGATTTTGAGGAACATCCGGTTGACACCCGTATGGCTTAGTTTCCATTTCGTCCCATCCACATTCACTAGGTTGAAAGTGGTAAAATCCAATGCCATTTTACTTGTGTTTGTTTTTCGAGTCTAGAATACTTTGTCAATTTATGTTATTCTCACACCTCGTTTATTTTCTTTAATTCAGGGCCTCCACTATGTACCTGTGGATCGGCACTCGGTAAGTGTATACGTTTCACACTTTCACCCCTTTCTTCGGAATGCTTCAGGTCGTCTCATGCTTTCGTAAAAAAAAAAAGCCGGATACATTATCATTTTCAATACAATTTATAATAATTTTTTTTTACGGAAGAGGGGTCATTCCCGGGCCTAACTTAAGTCTGTTAGGTTCCCGTCTGGCACCTATTCGGGTGAAGACAATCTTCCAAAGGCTCTTCCCTAGACGAGAATCCACTCAGAGCGACCTCAAGGCTCAGGGTGCAGGTCCTAATTGTAGGAAATATACCGTCGATTGTGAATGATCATTAACTCACTGCATATTACACAATATCTGTAACAAAGATACCAGAATTGTCAGTACAAGCAATACAATTTATCGACTTACGCTTATACTCGAACTCAAAAGCAATATTCATCGTTCTTAACCAACCAATCTCCATTCCGGGTTCAGGAATTCTTCTTGTTTATTTACTTTTAATTAATTAAAATTCTGTAGTGGGACGGCATCAAAAGATCTTGCCGTCTTGTGAAAAACAAAACAAAAACATACAAATGTGTATTGCCTGCAACCGGGGACCCCTTATTGTCCCTCTTTTGTTTGTACTCTTGAAGGCCTCCCATATGTTTTGTACGTGATCGTAAATTGGGGACCTTCGGGAATTGGGGACCCTATTGTCCTCTATTGTTCAACGGGGTAACTAATGGACGGATGAGCCGAGGAAACCGTCCAAAACAGCAAACTTGACAGATATTCTTATAGCCTTGAAGAAGATATTTTGAAGGGGGACACCTGAAATTCTCTTTTAAAGGGTGCCTAATTTGCATATATCGTTAATACCTGCCGTGAAATACATTTATTCCAATTTTATTTATTTTTTTGGAATAGTTTATTTTGGGGATTCTGTTTACATATCCTCACTTAAAGAGTATCTTGAAAAGCATATCAGAAACCGGAAGATAATGAGGACATAATAAAGATCAAAATGGCTACCATTATACCCTAAAGTTGCGGGCATTATTTACCTTTTCCTCAGATTTCATCAAGTAGTCTTCCAAAAATGTAATATTGATGAGATTCAAACTCACAAAGTTACTTACTGGCACAATATAACCCTGACACAAATAAATGCTGGCACGTAAAAAGACTAGCACGAGCGGCGAAGCCGCGAGGGCCTTTACTATCTCGTGGAACTAATCACTTATTCATTTATTCACGTAACATAAATCAAGCAATATAAACCAATCATCTAACGGTGGTTTGCGGTTACCAGCAATAGCACGCGCGCCATGGCGTGCGTGCTGTCGGGCGCCAGACGACGGCTGATTTACGTTAGTAATTCTGCGTTGTCATTGGTCAATTCACAACGGGTAATGCATTATGCATGTCTACCAAATTGGTTCATAATTAACTCGTGAACAAGAACAAAGATCGTTTTCAAATTGTGTGATCTGATAGATCATACCTTGAGGAACATTTCTGATCTGTAAAGGCACAGTCGTCTGACCTTTCCTACCGGGGTTACCTACCGATTGTCAAATTTAAATTGATGCAAAATACCGAAAGAAGTGTTATTACAAAAGCAAACGGAATTTCTTCCAAGTGGTTCAGCGGATAAAGTTGGAAACTCGTACGAATATGAACCGTTGTCCACAGATGTATTAAGTTTTATGACGTCATTATCGCGTCATCTAAGGGCGGATCGCAATTGTTGTAGCCGCTGCTCTAGCCATCCTGTTGACGTGTTTTGTCTGCTGGTACTGTCGTCGTATGAGGCGTTTAAGACGTGATAATGAAGTTGAACGTGTGAGTATAAAAATCTCAACGGTCACAGTTACTATGAATACTGAATAAGTATAACCATGCTTTGAGAGTACCGCCAGTACCATCACTTTGGAATTATATCCAGTAATTGTGTTTCACAAAGTTGGAGTAAAAAGTACACCAAGGAAAGGCGATATTTGAAGTACTTTCACTTGAAGTGCTTTCTTCAACAAACATCCTTCGTTAGTATACAACGTGAGTTAATGACAGTAACGGCGGCAATATTTTCCTTTTCTTCGAAACAACTTTTTGTCATACGATGTTTGAGATTCTTTTGACACACCATCTAATACAACAATACACGATGTGAATACGATACTTTTAGTTCCATTGATTATAAGTCACCACAAAAATGTAATTCACAAAAGACGCCTAAAGGGACTTTTTTGAGGTTGTTTCCTTGATCACTTAAAACAACTAACTTTGTCCAATTTCAAGTCATCTAAAATGTTTTCCCACTTGAAGTTGTCTTTTCTTCTGTCAAGGTTAACAAGTTGTTTTTAAATATATGGGCTCCGTGCGCCAACAAAGAGGGCACCCTTTTACCTATCAACGACATCCCATGGTCGGGACATTTAGCTTGTTTTACCTATCAACGACATCCCATGGTCGGGACATTTAGCTTGTTTTACCTATCAACGACATCCCATGGTCGGGACATTTAGCTTGTTTTACCTATCAACGACATCCCATGGTCGGGACATTTAGCTGGTACGCACATACACTAGGGAATGTGTACTATGTGGTACGGCCGCGCGTCGCGTCAAAATTGAAGTCAGGCAAGATGGCGTCGGTCGGTCACCCCCAACTGTACTTTCTTTGCCAGTGAGGGGGTACTTGTGAACGGAACGGATAGACTTCCAGGTTTACAAACAGAACCACTTGATATATTAATAGGAATTTATATAAAACTAGAATTGCATTTGAGGGCTGCATGATGTGTTTTGACATGATGTACTGCAACACCAATCTTCACTTTAAACAAGTGTTAATTTAATTTACCGGAAAAAAACCTCTCACATCGAACCAAACATAAAATGATTCCCCCAAAACGGTTTTGGTTACCTTTCTTTTGATGTTGCAACTATCTATCTCAGTCGACCATTGGAAGAGGGTTTTTTGGGGTAAAAATTCACACTGTATATACATGATACAATCAGCCTTTCTTACCTTCGAATATCAAAAAACATTATTTCAAAACTCAGAGACTAAATTTCACTTTAACTACTTCATCTATGAAAGCGAAGGGGAAAGAACACCTAATTTTAAACAGGAAACAATTTCTACTATCAAACCAAACAGTATATTTTTTACAAACAGAGCGGGTTCAGTTGAATTTCTTTCCTAATAAAGATTTCCTGGTGTAACATTTTTTAAAGCAATCCTTCTTTCCGGTAATCTTTCTGTTGCCGTTAAAAATGTAATTCATTACATAGTAGTGTTTTAATTTGCGC